ACTACAATACATATCTAGCACTTTGGTACAGGCTTGTAACATTATTTTAATAGCTAATTAATTTAACATTTGATCTAATTAAAGTTGCATTAAACTGCCTTGTTTAGAAATGATTCCGCAATGAATTCAAGCATGGTAGAAATTCCATTTAAAGCAAATGCTCATCAAAATGTTTTTAAACAGCAGCGTTCAAGCTACACATACGTACAACAGGCAATTTTGTTGCTTTTGGAAACTGGAATTCTCTCTTTTTTTTTTGACTTTACTAAGAAAAAAATCAGTATTTGCAATTCAAACATGGCTAAATTTTAACATTATTTAGGAAAACTTAAAAAGGGGACGACCAACTTAGGCATGTGCTTGACTTTATTTAAATATTGCCAGTGACAACACTTGTTTTCTTGCTCTGCGAGGTTTACTTGCTAAACGGGGAAGGATTTTGAGCAAGGCAACACACCACTGGCTAGCCACACATGAAGAGCATGCCCTTGTCAACACTAATTTATTGAGCATCTTCAACACATAATTTTTATCATGTCCTGGCTTAATTAAACAAGCTAAGACTTAGACTTGAAAATGGCAACCAGTGAATCAAGTTTCGTAGCCTCCAGACAGCTGCAGTCCATTCTTCCCTTGCCCAAAACAGAGAACCAAAGGCTTCAGCTCAAACTTGAGACTTTTTGAGAGAGTCAAGCAAGCAAAAACATCAAGAAGCAGATACTTACACTGCAGACTGAAATCAACTCAAATGTTATTAATACAGCTGATTTAGTGCCATAAAACATGTTAAAAGTATTAAGAGTGGTTTGCATGCATCCCTCTTCTCCTCTCCAACCCACAAAAGTCACTGTGACAGCCCCAGTGCAGCATTACAAATCCAGAGAAAAAACACACTTGCCTCAGTGGAAAACAGAAGTTATGAGCCTGGGAAACTCCAGGATAACAGTTTGGTACTCTGAGCAGCAGCACTTTGGGCCAAGAAATGATTTTTCCATCTGTATTATCCATATCTACCAGGCRTGCAAGTGCAATTACTCAGGCTGGGCAAGGGGCTACTAATGGGAGCATGAGACAAAAGATTGTTCTCTTGAAGGAACCATGGCACCCAYGAGAAATTGTTCATTGTCACATGAGAGAAAAAGGCTATGGAGTGACAAGCAAAAAGTCCAAATGTTTAGTTAAAAGGCTGCTATGAAGTTGACTCTTAACTCCTTCCAATGCATTCTCACTTATGTACATAAGTAACATTAAAAAGCAAACTGCACAAAAGTTTGTGCAGTTACAGAAAATTCACCGCTAGGTAAACCGCTAGCGGTAAACCGCTAGGTAAAAACAAAAATTAAAAATTAACCAAAGGCTCTTTTCCTTTCCTTTTTGCAATACGCTTCAGCTGACACGCTCATTTTTCCTTTTGTTGCCCATTAAAGCAGGTTAAATGTTTGGCAGGCAAGAAAAACGGGTGAAGCTTGCGTGTATCGTGTTGGAACTCAGCTTTGCACAGTGRTAAAGCCTCATTCACTGATAAAAACAACAGAAAAAAAAAAGAATCAGCAGCAACATCTCATCTCAGTTCAAAACACTGTCAAAAGACTTCTAAGCAAGAAAGGAAGTGGAGGAGGATCATCATGGAGAAATTCATTATGGTTTGCTACAGCCCTCATTAATTTCAGCTGTATGTATTACAGTGCAGCAAGGCACTTATGTTTCAATACAAATAAAGTGCTAGTGAAACGCTGACTGGTGCAAGGAGTAACTGAAGTGCATGGACAAAAACAGACCACAAGCAAACTCCACAGCTCCACCTTTTTGTGAGGGTGGAGAAGCAAAGTCCTCCCTGACATCCAAAGGCTCTGCACTGAACTTCAAACCTCCCTCTGCAAATAGCAGAGCAGTTAAAGTCCTTCAGAAAACGCTGAAGAACTGAGATGGAAAGTGTTAAACTGTGGGAATTACTGCCTTATCTCCTCCTATAAGCCTGAGATCCCGAAATTGCTCCCAAGAGCAAGCACTCACTGAGCTCAACTTTCTCAGCTTGAGAAGTTTCCAGCTATGGGTGTTGAGATCTGGTGCGAGTTTGATGTCCAGGACAACCAACCAACTCCTTTTCTGTTAAGTTCTATAAAAAAAGTGTGGGTTTCTGAAATACCCCCTCATTTGCTCATCTCTGTAGTAGTACTGGATGGAGGGCTCTAAACATTAGACAACTCGATGTTCTTCCCTCCCTAACTGGCTCCATTATCAAGGGGGCTCTCGCTCACATCCAACTGCTGCAATGTCATTTCACAGGAATGTTCCAGGATTCTCCAGCATTCCTCAAGGGTGGCTGTTTCATCAGATAGCCTGAACTGTCTTGCTTTCTCTAGGGGCTGTTATTCATTAGGGATTACTACTCAGCAAAGCAACATCTGTAACTTTTCAATTGTCTGAATGCTCTTAAGTGCTCTTCCCTCTTCAAGTTGCCCAACAGGCTTCATCCAGGCCTCTAATTACAACGGCTTCAAGATCATGTTGTGCAATCCATGAGCTGAGCTTTATGAAGCACCCTTAGAAATTAATTCCCATCTCATTGCTCGTCTCCACACATCTTTGATCRCTACAATTGCCAACTTTCCATTATCTCAATTAAAGAAAGCTCGAATAAACCAGATATTTCTCTTACAAGTTAGTGCATTAAGTGCTGGAGTTCATGGTGCAGTCACATCTCCATGGCTCCACGTGGATCCTTGATGGATCCCTTTTTTACAAAAATGTTTTTACACTTTCCCAACTCAGCACAGTCACATCTATAATGCCTTAATTTCTGTGCTCTAGGTGTCTGCACAGCTCCAACCCAGGGGCTGGGCTGCTGGGGCTCACATCTCTTAAGAAAGCAATAGTGTTTRCAAAGTGGAAGCCAGTTCAGACCTTAAAAAGCCCAAGAGCTTCAGAATCACTGTTTTCTCTACTGAATTTAAGATGCTCCTGCAGAGTCAGGCTATTTCTGCACTGAGTTGCAGATTGGATACGTTACTGAACCTGCATAGACACATGGACAGCTGCTAATAACCTCGCTGAGGCCAGCCCAACTAGGAGGTGTGGAAACAGAGAACCCACGTGGAGTAATTTTGGTCCAAGAAGGACTAATAATCACAACTAATATCACATCTAATAATTGTAATTGGACTCAGCTGACTGCATGCAAATTCCTTCCACAGTTTGTGATTCATATCCTGCACCGTCTTTCAAAAATCAGAGATCAAATAAACCTGCTCCCAAGTAGGCCACTTGTTCCTTTTTCTTTCTTTTTCTTTTTTTTTTTTAAATTAAGAAAAAAACTCTATATCTCTACTAACTGTGATGTTTCCTGTTGTCTTTGCACTGCCGGTGCTGTCACAGTGACTTTTACTGTAACCTACCTGATTCATCGTGATACTTGCAGCTTCCTCGCTGACAATTTTTAAGCAACACTGACCTCTAGCTAACTTCTGAGTAATGAAACCCACTCAAGTTGCCTTTCAAGAGGTCTGTATCAGCTGCCAAGACCTAATAAGAGTATTTGATCATTTAAAGACGGAGACATCATCAAGACCTTCCTATTTCACGCGATTTTGTAATCCTAGAGTGGCCCAGGACAGCTCAGCAGTTGCAGATAGGAAGAACCAGATAGGAAGAACCAGAACAGCTGATGTCACTAACGGAGTTAAATGTATAGTCAACTTGCTGAATTGCCACATTCCTCCAGAGTATTGCAGATGGGGCAGGAAAGCTCTTGGTTTGATTGTGCTCTGTTAGTGTGCTCAGTGATTGTGCTCAGTCTGGACTGAGTTTAAGGACTGAAACGTTGATCTCTCCAATCCCTTTAGCAGCCAGCTGCTCTTTTCTGAGCCCTTTTCACTTCTCCTGGTCTCCATAAGGAAAAACAATCGCTCCGACACCAGCTCATCACATACTATAAGTAATCCCAAACTCCATGCCCTTTCCTGCTTCTTGCATGTAGGTCCCTATGGCTCCGAAAAGATAGATAAAACACAGCCTTTTTTGTTTAAARTTTTGCAAAAGCAAAGTTTCAAAAAGCCTAACATCAAACAGCAAGAATCATTTACCAAAATAATGAGTAATCAGAGTTTTTGCCARGGGAACAAATGTCAGCTCGTGGCAGTTTATTAACCTTACAACACAGGGCAAATTAAACAAATGTGTTTATCATACAATGCTGTCCAATATCGCAAATAATGACATGCAGGCTTCTGTGTCCTTATTACCTCGTCTACAGTAGCCATACGCTGATGGGTCCAACTCTCCTAAAATACAACCATGCATAACATTGTGTCTGCTGCAAATTCTTGTCTCCAAGCTTAAAGATTTGTCACAAAGTGAAAAAGCTACAGGGAATACCAGCTGTAATACACATATCTGTCTGGAGCCAAAAAGCAAATCAGGCRCCTTTGGTACTTGCATCTGTAAAGTCAAGCACATGCCAAGGTTTCCAAAAGTGGAAAAATTTTGTTATTAAGGCCCCATAAAAGTTAAGGGAAGTTAGGACTCAGTATTGAGTCCTCTAGTACGCCTTGAAAGTAATACACCTAAGAGTACATAAATTGAACCTAGTCTCTCACTTTTAATGTTGAAGTATCAAAGAATCATCAGAAATTACTTTTACTTTGGTGTTATCAGGATTAGAATATGGATCTAGATTTCAGACTGCCACCATCTGATACAAGCACTCAGTTCTTAGGGAAGAAACACAATGTGCTTTCCCTTACTTCAGTTTAATTCATATCATAAGCTCCTGATTAAATAAGATGGCAAAAGACTAGTTTTCTATTCCTAACACAAGCTAAATAACATTTGATRTTAACTGTGGATCCAACATAAGAGCTATCCCAAGCTATATGCATGTATATATATATATATAGGAATATAAACAATTTACTCTACAGATCTTCACTATAATTACACAAAAYTGAACTAGACAGGAAAGCAGTATAATTTTCACCCTTACTTTCAGCCAGGTTACTTACATCCCGAAGCGCAGCGTTCCAGAGACGTAGGTCTGCCAATGTGCGCAGTAAAACATGAATGTTGCAGCAAAACAACAAAAGAACATCCAGTCAGGGTTGGTTCCAAGCTGCACAGCAATACAAGTTCCCAAAACCACAAAGACTGCAGAAGAAAATCAGTCACATAGTAAAAAATAAAAATAAAAATAAAAATGTGTATGCGTGTAAAGACCCATCCCAGAATCAAATCTAATTGAGGACCCAGAAAAAGAGAAACAGTGTGAAATTAACCCAGTCTTAACATTTCACAGATGTTAAAAAAAGTCAATGTTTCCATTCAAAAAGGAAAAAGGCAAGAAGTAGTACAGACTGTAGAAGTGTATTTAAATTCTTATCAGTTGCCAGATGTTCTCAGTACTGAGGACTTTGAAGCACCCTCCATTTTCACTGACATTAATGCCATTAGAAATCAAGAGACTTCTACAGTTTATGTAGTTAGAGCCTTTGGTCATAAGTGGAGTTTTCTCGCATGGTTTGCTGAATAAATTTTTCCCCCTTTTCTTCATTTTCATCATGCTACAGAGAAAAACCCAATGCCTGTCCCACAAGATCCATAAGGCATCTGTGCATTTCTTTTAAACACATAAGAAATCATTTATAAACATTTAAAGTGCAAAAGCTTTAAAATGTAAGTAATCAAAATATTGTACCCCTTCTTTTGAAAGAGCTAAACTTCCAGATAGCTGAATGAATTCTATACATTGGGAAGGGACTCAATCTTATTTATACTAGTCTTAAAGCTGGCCTGCTACTGCCCCACCATTTAGGCACCATATTTGACTTTACGATCGTTCTACATAAGTTAGATCTAAAAATGAAGATGGAAAAGCATTTTGGAAGGCTTCTTATAGCAAACTGCCCAAAGCAACACTGAGAAAGCTGACAGAGAAACCTGATGGCTCAGGCTGAATTAGCCCCATCCTTAATTCATTCAGTGTAAATGTAATACAAGAAAGGTCGCATCTGGTTAATTAAGAGAACTGCACACAGACAACAGGGCTGACCAGGGAGCTTCACCGTCAGCAATATCACTTGCCCATTTCTTCAATAACAAGTAACCCAAGACTTTTGTGTACTCCAGATTTCATCCCTAAACAGGGATCAAATTAACCCTCATACTTCAAATGAAAAATGACAATACCTGTAGAAAGGGAATCACAGCCATGATCAAAAAGTTCTCCTAAGGGAGTACTGCTATTTGTCCTTCTTGCTTGCTTCCCATCTATAGCATCCAGGGACTGGTAAATGAAAAGGCCACATGCACAAGCAATATATGCCCAGGGAGGTGCCTATGGAAGAAATTGTCAATGATAACAAAAGATTTTTAAGCCTTCAGGCCTGTTTTATTCAGGCTGCCACATACTCTCCTTTAACAGTTCATTCGCACACATTTTCTCATCTAAATAGCTTCAAAACTACATGCATGGACCCCTCCACTTCCCAATAGCTGGTCCTTATAGGGGCAGGCAGAGCAAGTTATATGTGGAAATGCACGAAATAACTGTGAAACAGGAAGCATTAGCTTAGATCAATAGGCAAAGCAAGTCTTCTAAAGCAAGAAGGAAAGCTCCGCTGAACAGCTGAGAAATTTATAGCACCACGTATGCAAAGCCGTGCACAGCTAAGCTCTTGTGTCGCTTCTGCTTCCCGCGGGGGAACGTGTAAACCACCCGAGCAATCAGCAGCTCCAGCGCTTTCTTAGCCCCCCACCACGCACAACAGCCTCAGCACCACCGAGCTCTTTGGGCAGGACTCGGCGAGACGCCACGGGCCAAACCACCACCGAATACGGGGTACTGCCAGGCTGCGGGGCGCTCGCTCCACAAAATCAGCTGTGATTTGTAAGACTTGAGGACTCCAGAGTCAACCCCACTTTTTCTTTTTTTTTCTTCCTTTTGTAGACCACAAGAGCCTCTCAGAGATCCATGCCTTAATATTCACAGCCTGGAGGGCAAGGTGGTATAAATATAAAAACCAGATTTGGGTTTCATCCTGCTTTGAAAGCTGGCACTGTGCTCTGCTTTTCGCAATGCGTTCACCCCAGGAGAAGGGAGAACATGTCACCTCACACGRCCATGCTCAGGAGAGGTGACAATCCAATGGAATCCCATCCCGTGACACCGTTTCTATTTCTCACATATCGATTTGACACTCACTGTTACCTTTCAGAGTCAGATAATTCTATCCCTATAAACTTAAAAAAAAAAATCAGACTGTTGGCTCTTCTTGCACACTACTTTCATCATCAGTGTATTAAATGTTTATATCTGCATAAGATTTCACATCTGTCTATATTACACAACTCTTTGGAGTCTTTTTAAGCAAGAAAAGTGCATTTRCATTGCTAGCTGTGCTTTGCTAGCTGGGTCTCCCCTGTCCCAAACTAAGCAGACAGCAGAACAAGCCATATTTTRTTTCCTTTGTGGCTACCAGAGAATTTCTAAGACAGCTACATTCCCCTTGCTGAACCTTTAACCAGATGGAAGTGCCAACTGCCCTTTGAAAAAAGGACAACTAAGAAAGAGCTACGAAGAGCAGGTTATTTATAGCTGAAAGCAAAACTGCTTTCAGAAGTAAACTGTGTTTTCTGCAGCCGTGGAGCCCTATCTTCCTCTCAGCTATTTGATGCTTAAAAGCACAAGCTTCCTGCTTTGCCACCAAAGCAGCATCCTCCCTGTCCTGCCTGCACCTAGGGCTGCAGCATCACACTGCAAATCTGACAGGGCTGAAAGCTCCCTCTGCAAAAAGTTATTTTTCAGCAAAGTGAGAAAAGGGGAACTATTTTGTGCTTAGCAAATGGGATTGAATTGCTGCARATAAAGCAGTGCTTTAATGTGGCAGATTGCTGCTAACAATATGATATACTGACTCTGAGTGTAGCTTGGTCTGTATTTCAGGAGTTTAATTACCACCTGGATCACATTTGTACTCTAGATGTTAATTATGCTCTGGTTCAGCAGCCTATACTACCTGCTGCTTTGCAGAAGCAGAGACAGGGCAAAATCTCCCTACTGAAATCCAAACTCTCAAGTACAGGGAATACTGCTATCCAGGAAGAGTGAAGGTTAAAATAAAGGACACCACAGCCTGGAGGGAGGAACTGGAAGTATTCACCACTCAAACTTAATAGTTACTTTTCATTTTAAACTTGCAAAATTATTGCATAGCTATTTCAACAGATTTCTAGAAGAGGTAAACATCTCTTTGCTATGTCATACAGGAAAGTGATTAAAGTGGGATGCACAGTGCTGAACGTCCCAACTCACAAGGACATTCGATCATGAATTCAATTGTGATTTCAATCTCAATCCTCAGTCTCAGCTACTAGACTTGGTTATGTAGGAGCTCAGATACTCCAAGGACTAGAACTCAAGAGTTTCCCCAGCTATTAAATAAGTAGAATATTCTCTGCATCAAATAAACCCTTTCTGCATTCATAYAGGCACAGTTCACAGTGTGTTCTATGTAAGATGGCAATACAGGCCAACACACAACATAATTTGCCAGGGCTCCAGATGGGATAGAGAAAGGTCTGTTTTAACAAGCTGGGTTTTGTCACTTAAGTCATGTTGCCATGATGTCCCAAGCAGCAGCACCTGATCTCAAGCCCTTCACTGTAACTCAAGCTGCCTTCACAGGTCGACTCAATTAACCGTCCATCGATCCAGCTTGCGCTTCTTGTTTGTGGTAACTCTAGATCACACAGAGCCAAAGGTGACAACCTTGTCACGCAACAAGAAAGTAAGCAGGCAACGTGTCACACAGGTTATGACAGCTGCAACTCCATTTCTTCCTTGCTTGCACACCAACTCAAACATATCCCGTCAGGCAGCAGCTTTCTTGCAGCAGGTCCCTGCCAGCTGCTTCCACAAGTTGTTTTGGAGCTAGACCCCATTTCRCCCCTTGAGCAGCACCCAGCGGACTCACTCAGCAAGCAGCAGCATCCTACCTCCCAAATTCACGTGTGCTCTTTTCACATGCAAGTACTGACATGGCAGCACACACACACACACTGAAAGTACATCAAAAATAACAGCATAAACCTGAAGACTGCAGGCTCTTAAGTGAGAAATAGCTCTCCACAAATAGAATTCATGCAAGAACAGTGCCAGAGCACACTAAACATGAACTAAGCTCATCAGAGGCCTGGTACTTACCTGTTCTGTAGCTGTCGGGCAGTAATACACTAATATCAGAGTTGTAAATATATTTATTAACAGTCCGATGACAGTGATCAGATTTGGGGCAATCCAGGCTGGAACTCTTCCAACTAACCATTCCCAGTAACCTTGCATTAGCGGTTCAAGCAGGGATCGTCCAGCACTCTGATATTTGTGTTCTTCCAACCGTTTTAGCTGGTGCTTTGACAAGGGAGGCGTGGGCAACTGAACGAGTTTGCTTAACACACATCCAGCAGCAGGGACGTGACCACAGCCCGCAGGGGACTCCAGGTGCGACTCCCCACATCGTCTCTTCACGTTTCGATGCCCGCTCATGGATCGGTTGGCCTCCAAATTTTTATTTGGCAGGTAACAGCTGCTGCGAAGAATCATAAGATCCTGCAAAGAAGAAGATTTGGGCATCACGAAGGATACAGAGATGATTTAAAGTGACCAAAAGCTTCTCTAAAGAGCATTTCTTTAGCCAACAAAATACAAAAACAAGAAAAAAAAATAAAAAGGAAAAAGCTAAAATCGTTTTCACTTAGAAAAGAAATATATTCAGAACTTTGTAAGAGAGAATAGGGAAGAAGCATCCGCAATGTAGTTGCAAAAAGGTAAGTTGCTTTTATTCTTCCTTTTTTTACCTTTCCTGCTGCTCACTGAAGCAAATATCCTGTGTTCCCCAGCATTTCAGCAGCAGATGAAWCACACGCCGCTGATTTATGTTACAGACACACTCAGACACACTCAGACCCCTCACCTCTCTCCCCTAGGAGAGCTACATCTATTTGCATCTGTTATATATATGCTATATGCTCTGAGAGATGAAAATCTTCCTGCTTGCCAGGTAAGGACACTGAAAATACCACAAATACAGAAAAAAAAAAAAAAATGAAGTCTTTCAGACAGAGGGAAATTCTGGAAGCATCTCAAGTTCCCCAGGCTTGAAAGCAGCTTTGCCTCTTTGGTCAAGCTGAACCACCACCTAAAGGCAGTTGTAAAAAAATATCAAGAAATACGATCTAATAACAATAACAACACTAATAAATGCTTATTTCACCTTGCTGTGGTTTTAGCTTTGCAGGTTTTTTTGTTTATCTTTAGTTTAGCCCAAGCCAGGTGAAAGCAATTATTTGCACATCACTCRGGATGAGCAAGAGACACAGAGGAGCTATGAAATCATGACAGGCTTTAGCTGCTCCCAGACAGCCCAATGACAGCGGCAAGAAGGAAAAGCTGCCTTGGGAAGAGAGTTTCCAGCATAAACGGGGACATTTGGGGTGTTCCATCTCTCTTGGAGACCAAGAAACACAGAGAACCCAGGGAAGCAAACCAGGCAGCAGCGGAGGGCTGCTCAAAGGGAAGCCTTGCTGCATAGACACAAGCAGTCAGAGAGAGAAAGGAACACGAGTTCTTCAGCGTAGCAGAGTAAAGCCCAGGAGAGGAAGGGCAACGGGGACAGAGAATAAGGCAGGTAAAGCAAAGGTCAACCCCGGCACAACCACGCGCCGGGGCAGCCCTCGGCCACGCAGGGCCGGGCCCGGGGGGGGGGCGGCGGCAGCAACGGGGAGGCCGCGAGCTGCCAGGCCCCGCCGGGCGGTAAGTTCCGGAGCGGCGGCCCCGCACCCGCCGCTCCCGGCGGCCCGAGCCGGTCATGGCGGCGGGAGCGGCGCTGAGCCCCGCGCTTTGCCCTTCCCGCCCCGCGCACGGAGGGCGCCGCGGCCCGCGGGGGCCCGGCCGCGCAGGCCCAGGCCTGACCCCCCCCAGACCCCAGTACTCCGCGTACGGGCGCCCCGCCGCCCTGCCAGGCCCCGGGCGGCGCGGAGGACCAGCCGAACCGGGCCGGCCCAGCGGAAACCCCCTCGTGCCCGGCGCCCACCCGAGCGGCCCGGGACACCCGGCATTTACCTCAGGCCTCCGCACACTGGGCGGCGCTTTACGCCCCTTTTGCGACTGCCGGAAAGGAGGTGGGCG